CTGCTGCCCGCAAAGCTCCTACGCAGGGCACCTGCAAGCTCCTTCGAGTCCCCCTCCTGGGGATCCACTGCCCGCCGTGAACATCCCCTGCCCCTGCAGATCCGCTGCCCCAGAGCTTATTGCCACCCCACTGCTCCCCTGGAGCTGCTCCCCAGCCTGGGGCCACACGGAGGGTCCTGAGCTCCCCCTCCCAGCATCGAGGCGCAGTCGCTTTCCTGCCAGCTCTCACGCCCATGGACCCATGTCAGCCCGCTCCATGGCCAGAAGGGGCTGCAGTGCCCAGGTCCTGGCTCAGTCTCTGTCCCCTCTTCCTCCAAGACCTGGCAGGAGCTGGCAGACACCAAGCAGGGATGGGGCTGGAGAGACACCAAAGTGCCTTCAGCATGAGGAGCCACCTGGTCAACAGGGGATCTCCGGACAGCTCCTGTGCAGGGGGGACAAACAATTTTTCGGCTTGGATAAGTTCCCAGGTCCATGCTGGCCCAAGGTCCCACCCAAGGACAGGGCTGGGAGGTGTGGAGGGAAGGAGGAAGCACGACAAGAAACATCACATCTGTCCTTGAAGAAGGGGACTGATTCTTTTAAGTCTTTTTTCCTCAAGGCAAACACAGTGACACAACTCATTCTTTGTGTATTTGCCTGCATGTCCCCAGGATCTTTGAACCCGGTGCCCAGTTTCGCCCCATTCCTCCTCACCAGCATCCCCATGGGGCAGAGGGCCAAGGTGGGGCCCTGCAGGGATGGGTGTGGGAGGGCTCCCACCAGCACTGATGTCCAGGCAGTGGGAAAACAGAGCTTTAATGAGGCAAGTACCTTCATACAAAGCACAACTGCAGCACGGCACCCCCAAAAGTTGCTCTGCCACATCTGGGAGCAGCAAGGGGGAATCAGGAGGGGCTGGGGGACCAGGACCTGCCTGCATATGGGGTTGGGAGAGTATAGGGCTCCCTCCGCATTGGTCCACTGCATCCCAGGGCTGCAGGACCCTGTTCCATGGTTTCCCTCACCTCAAATCTTCTCCAGGCTTGGGAGGTTTGATCACAATGAGAGACAGAAGAAAAAACTTGATTTTTTCACCCTCCCTGTGCCCCATCTTCAACCCATCTTCAGAGACAGGTCCCCACATGTGCCCCCACACACAGTGACCAGGGGCTTCATCCCCACCAAAAGGGCACAGCCCTTACCCACCCTGCATCCTTTCCCTGGCCCTAACTTGTGTCACCAGCATGGTACTTGCATATGCAAATCAGAGTGGATTGATTTGTACCTCTGTCCTTATCAGCTCTTCTTAAAACACCACATCCCACTCCTTCCTTGGCATCGGGGTCCCACTTGCACTGTGATAGCCCCTGGTTGCAGCTTGACTCTGATACCAGCTGGGCTTGCTGCAGCTCAGTCCCTCTGGCACAGTGTCACCTTTCGTCCCTCGCACAGCCAAAATACGGGATAGAGGGGCTCGGTGAAAACATGGTGGAAAGTGTGGATGAGCTGCATCCTCTCCCCGAGTCCGTAGAAGGAGAGGAGCCCCTTGCTGTAATCCAGGCTGACCCCCAGGTTCTTATACAGCCGCTCCTGGATTTTCTCCGGCTGGCCCTTGTGCCAGGCCAGGTAACAATCCTCCCGCACCTGCAGCCCCCAGGAGCCTTCATCCAGCCCGATGTTGAACTTGTGGCCCTGCTGCCGCTCCCGGGGGAGGCCGCGGTACGTCACCCCCAGAATGACGGAGTGGCTGGAAATCTTCACCTCCCAGTAGTGGTGGCCGTGGCTGTAGCCCTGCGTGCACAGCACCTGCCAGGGCTCGAAACGGCGTCCCTGCTCCTGCCTCCCGCAGACGGCGCCGGGGCCGTGCTTGGCTTTCTGGTTACTTTTTGACAGCTCCAGGTACTTGTTGGCCGTCTTGGGATTGAAGGTCAGGTTGCGGTGATCTGGGAAGAGCAACAGCATGGATAGGGCTGAAACGCTTCATTTAAATCTCTATGCCTTGGTGTGAGCCCCCCCAGGGGTGATGTGGTTTAAAATGCCTAGGGCTGGCACCCCAGACAGAAGGGAACAAGGTGTAGCAGAAGGGAGTGGGGTGAGGTGTAATACCTGCCCACTCGCCTGCTAGAAGGAATGGAAACACCCTGAGAAAACCAGGCATTACATGTGCAGAGTTACTCTCCTTGGCGTGGGCTGCGATAACTCCTCCTGCCATGGGCAGTCACTGGCCTTCACCACCTCACCTTCATCCCACAGCAGTCTAGCCCAGCTGGCAATGCTGGGCTCATGCCTGTTGCCCATAAATAACTTTTTCTTTTCTCCTATTAATAACCCTGAGAACGTTTTGTGGTGCCTGATGGAAGGAATTCCTACAGGTCCCATAGGCATCAGTCGCCTCCCTGGCAGGAGTGACAAGACCAACATGCCCTAAATATTATCCAGCCTTCTTCCCAACAGGAGGAGATGGGAAAAGGAGGAAGTCTCTAAGGAACTGGAGTGGGATGGGCCCTGAGAGGGAAAGGGACACAAAGGACTGTGGCTGCGAGCGCTGAGGCTGTATCCCTAGATACAGAGCAATGACTGGAGGCAGGGCTCTGGACTGGTGCTGCGCCGTGCAGGGCAGCCAACTACCCAACCCTGCGGGTGCTCACGTGCCAGCTGTGGCCGTTGCCTGTCTGTGGGAAAGTGCTGAGTCTAAATATGGGTTGTTGGGAACAGGCATGTTGCTCCTGCCTGGGCGAGATGCCCAAGGAAGGCGAAAAGCAGAGTATGGAGAGAGGGCAAGACCCAGGGCAGTGACCGACGCAATACCAGGCACTGGCAGCCCCAGTTTCTACAGGAAAGTGTTCCCTGATACCATTGATCTCCCTAATAAGCCCCTTCCTGGCCACACTGTGTCCACCAGCCCACCCACCCCAGCCCTGCATCACCCTTCTCTGCATTTAGGGAGAGGGATTGAGAGATCCAGGGAAGGAGCCCCTGTCCCAGCAGCCTTGACTACCCCTCCTTCCAGGGCAGAGCCCAGCTTGGTGCTGTCCCTCCAGACCCCCATGTGCTCCTCACCCTTCAGAAGCTTAGCTCGGAGCTCGCACTCAGGGAGAGGGGCCACCACCTTCTCTGCTGGCCCCCGTGGATGCACCGGGTCTGTGAAGGATGGGGATAGGCCAGGTAAGTGATGCCACCCAAAGCCTTGTTTCTTCCTGGCTTTGATGGGAAAAGGAGGAGAAAGTCCATCATATCAAAGCCTGGGAGTGGGCACGTGCCACCACATCTTGGCAGGGGCCGCCAGGAGAGGGCCA